ACACGAGACGTTTAAAGCCTCCTTCATATTACACGAGACGTTTGCTTATAGGTGCGCGGTGGGGAAATATCGTACAGGTTGATGTTATGGAAATCGGTGTTACTGATAGCATCCTAGGTGTTCCCTGTCATTGCTGGCAGATTCTCCCAGTGCTCGCACTGTGGTCAGTCGTCCTAGTTGATTCTCCACTGAAGCTCGCCGAGATTATCAGTTGTAGCGACGGTTTTATGGTTTAGGGTTTGAGTGTTTTAACTAAATAGAAATATGTAAATAAGCACAAATGGCTATTGCGATCCCAGCTACACCATATCATCCATCGTACGAAGTCTGTGTGCAGCCGTTTGCCATCAGTCTTATCGGTGTGCGAAAACGGAGGATTTATTGGATTTTCCAATGTCAAATTCTCGTACGTATGAGTTGACCAAATACTAAGAATTATCCAAGCTCAGGTATCTTTTTTGCCACCTGCGTGACGTACACGACCGTATACTGATGAGAATAGAGGTCAGCTGCTCTGGGGTGGGACACACATCAGCATATCGCACTGCATATCCGCAGCCGCTTGCATCATGTGCATTTGATAGAGACCACTTGCGTTCACGACTTAGCGTAGGATTTTGGCCCATTCTTACGATTTCTCTTCAGATTTTATTGGTTATACAAAACGTTTGGGAATCGAAGACTCCGATGTTCCTTGAGCGCCTTTGAGTTTTGACATTTAAGATGCGGTCCCATACGCAATTGATACATTTTTTGTGTAACTGAAAATATCACTGTACGATACCCTAAACTACGGTCTATTTATGAGATCCGGGCACTTTTAATTGTAGACCTGAAAAGAAGTATTTTGAGCACAATATCGACAAAGACAATATGATAAAACCACGACCTGTGGCTATCAAAGCAGCCAACAAGGGCAGGACAAGGCCGTGGGGACAATAGTGGAGCTGCACCTGCTGGCATTCCTCCTGCTGATCCTAAATATGGCAGGGAAGTCTACTATGGGGTTTTCTGATCTTTTTTTTTTTGAAATCAGTGTTCCAACAGTACGCATCATTGTCCAGAAAGGCTCCTCCCGACAGAGATATCAGACCATCTCTCATTGGTTCGTACG